TGCGTGAGGAAGGGAGCAGCTCAAAAGCTCAGTGTGAGGGATGCCCCGCCATTGGGCCAGAAGATCAAACCTGTCAGCACATCATCGTCAAACAAATGTGTACAGTGAGTGCTGGGAAACAAGACGTGTGAGTACCATGCAGCTGAATTATACAAGCTTTAATAAGGAAAGCCTCTTAATTCACTGTTACAGAATATAAGAGTGGATTTGCAAACTTCAGCAGGACAAAGACTCTTAAACTTTCATTTGTGACGGTGTAATTGGCTCATTAAATTCTGTGAGTGTGCTGATGTGCATCTTGTGTCTATATATTGTGTGCATTACATACCTACAGTTGGAGTGTGTGAGCACGTTTGTTTGTGTGCAGGTGTGTGTGTTCAACAGTGACTGAGTGCGTCCCTGTGAATCCAGTGCATTTTAAAAAGCGTCTTCCCCACACGCTCACACGTTCTCTTCAGCTGACGTGAGAATGAAGAAGCTGTGTGAGCTGAGGTGGGAATGTAAGAGCACAATGTAGATGTCATTCTCCCGTCGTTGGCTGTCCGTTTTTGTGTTTGTGTGTGTTTATGTATCTTTGTGGGGACCAACACTGTTATGGGGACAAAATCCTGGTCCCCACAAGTTAAAGGTGTTTTTTAATGTCAGGGTTATAATTAGGTGACAGTTAGGTTTAGGCTAAGGGATGTAAAAACACGGTGTGCACGCGTGTGTGTGTGTCTGATTGTGAGGGGGTTACTCAGGAGACACCCCCCCCCTGCTGGGCATTTGAAAGAATGCAGGTTTCATATTTACATGGAGCTACATCCACTTTTACTTTCAGGATATGTTTCACACACATGCAGATCATTGATATGAAAATGGTTTCATTCTAGTTGTTGGTGGAAACCTCCATGAAGGAGCCCTGTTTACCACCCTGGTCATCAAGTTTATTTAGTGAACAGACGATGATTAACATCTGTTTTAAACCACTGCTGAGAGGAGACATTTTTGGAAAAGGCACAATGTTTGTATAAAAGTGTATGAAAATATTAATAATGAATAAGTACACACATGCCATCCTTGCGTGTTATAGTGTATCCATGCTCAGGATAGTGAACAAATGTCACGTTGACTCCAATCAGAGGTGTTCCATCAGCTGTCAGGACCTGACCTCGAATTATCGACACCAAGCTAAAAAGAGAGAAGAGAGCAGAGAGAACTCGTTTACTCACACTGCCTGCAAGATTTACTTAAAACATTACAAAATGTTTAATGGCAAATAGTTATAATACATAAATAAGCCCATCAAGAAGTGAAATTTCCCTGAGTCCCTGTGGCTGAGCTGGAAAACTGTCTTAAGAGATGGAAACACTCACAGCTCACCGTAGCTCTGCAATGTTACTCATTGTGATCGAACTGCAGAGTCCACTGAGGGATAACTTAAAAAACGACAACGGAGGAACTTCTGAGTAATGCTGATGTCACCACGGTACTTACAGTACATGTTGTCGTTTGCATCGGTGTTATGTGTTTCTGTTACTGTGTGGTTATTGTGGAAAAAAGAACCACATGCATCTGCCGGGTTTTGTCGGCCTCGTCTCTTGTTCCGTGTTCAGTGTTCCCTCTCTCTCTCACCAGTCAGTCATGTTCCCATATCTATTTTTTCCCAGTCCAAGTGTCAAGCCTGCATGTCTTGGTCTTTGTTGCCATGGTAATCGGACTTCCTGTTTTATTTCCACAGTCTCTCGCCCTCTTCAGTGTGCTCAGTTTTCCCTGTCTGATTAATTCCAGCTGTGTTCCCTCAGGTTTCCTGTCCTTATCCCCGCGCTCCTTGCTTGCCTTGTTATTCCCAGTCAGTTCCCAGTTTCAGGTTTTGTTTTCCTGTCTGATGCACTTCATTATAAAGTCACAAACATGTCAGACATGCTTGGATTGGATTTCAGTGTTTTAGTTTTTTCATCCCATTTTACTTGCTCCTGTGTGGAGCTGCTTTCACACACACACACACACACACACACACACACACACACACACACACACACACACACACACACACACACACAAATAAAATTGCAAAAAACAAAATCATCTTAAACCCCAATTTTTCCCCCACAATCATTTGCGATGCTCCATAAAATCCACATAAATATCATTGCACATACAATACCATGACAATAAGCTACAGGCAGTAATCTAACAATTAGCTTTACTAGCAACCAGGTCACAACTGCAAGATGTTTGAGCAGCTTACATTTATTTTCATGTAATTTAATTGGCAACTTGTCATATCTGACATCTAAAGGTAAAATTATTCCAGACCATAGACGATGCCAGATGCTTGACATTTTTCAGTACTTTACCCATGCTTTGCCTGCTATCAAAGCACTGACCTTATAATTTGTGCGCAGTCTATCACCTGAGACACAGCTGACATTTTCTTCCAGAAGACCCTTACATTCCTACAGTTTTAGTCCAAAACCATTCCCTGCCCTGCATCTGAGTCGTCTTTTGTTAGATGTTGAGCATTTCTACCCATTAGAAATCACACGAGTTTTATCTCTGTGGCTGTAAGCCTTATCCTTAAAAGAGTACAGACACACACACACACAGTATATCTGTGTTTTCATGTCTAAAATAATCTTTTACGTTTGCAGGTACATCCCATTAGGGAAACACTGGACACTTTATTACAGGTTTGGTATTACAGGTTCTCCTCTTATGAAATATTCAGTAAATCATAAAAATATGACAAAAGCAGAAAGATTGCCAAACACAATTGCTGTCATGTTTCTTCCCTCTCAGTAGAGCTGCCTTTCAGCCTCTGTATTTGCAGACTGGCCCTGTCATTCCCTGTTATCACTCTCAATGAATGCTATCTTTGAGGCAGGTGTGGGCAGGAATGGCTTTTGGCAAGGGAAAACAGCAGACCTTGAGCACTATATTTGGATTTTGCTAACATGTTTTATCATTTTCATGCCTACAGAAAGCAAAGCTAAACTACCACTTCTCATATTATGCTAAATAAAATAGGATACACCATGACCTGCAGGCTTAAAAAATATTAGTCAAACAATCACAGAAAACAAGGACATCAATGAAACCTACTTTGACCTACGACTACAGATCATTTATGCTTCAAAGAGCAGTGCATGAGATATGAATATGTGTGATTTTTCCCTGCCAATGTGCAGGTGGAGTACATGGTTATTGTAACTGCTCAATAACACTGTGTGGAATGATGAACACGGGTGAATCCAGTTACTGCAGAGCTGAACCCATAAAATATGTCATGAAAAAACAGTTTACAGTAAGATGTCTGCAATATCCAACAGTCATTTACAGCAAAGCAGTGTTTCCATGGCTTGGAATGAACATCTGCATGTGCATGCCAATGTTGCTGCTTTATCCCTAAAATGTAAGAGAAAAAGAAAGAGAAACACGACAGAAGACATGTTTACCTTTTATTAAAAGGATTTTCACCATTGATTATGTGAGTCGATTCAGGCCCAACTAGAAAGTGAATGCGCTGGTAGAAAGATCTGGCAGCCTAAGAAAAGCAAAATAAATAAATGGGTAATCTGATGCTGAAAGGTGTCGTCATTTTGTCGATTTCTGACGGGATCTTCTTACCTGTTGAGGAGGCACTGAGGATGGAGACTGGCTGAGCACCTCGCCTGGGTCAGGTGACCCTTTGCAGTACAGCTGATTCTGACAGGAAGGCTGCAGACAGCAGTCTGGATCCATGCAGTCAGCCAAGCCATCTGAAACATGCACAAGCCCTACAGTCACAAAGCTAGCACAGAGTTGGGGAAAACATAGTCGTTTAAAAGCTTTACATGTGAAATCTAATGAACAGCTTAACATGTTTCAGTTCATAGCAAACAAAGGCAGCATAGCATTAGCTGCAACAGCTACATAAACAATTTGTTCAGTCTTTCAGACAGAGGTTTCAATGACCAACAGACGGAAATGTACTAATGCACGTTTAAAATCTGCAGCATTTATATGATTTTATAAACTCTGGTAAGGTTCCTGGAGCCCTTTATATTTTGCATCCTAAAAGCCAGACTTCCTTGTAATTTTTTGAAGTGGTCTTAACCAGCAGGTCTTCAGTGCTTCTGAAAGCTTTTCAATTTTTTCTGCAGACAGCGGCTCCTTTATCACTCAGCTTTAGTGCTGTCCTCATGCGTACGGAGGAGGAGCCGCGCAACAGCGAGTGTCTACAGCCATCAGTGAAACATAGTGGACGCTCTGTCACATTTTCAGGCTGTACTTTAGCCAGTGATGTCTGTCAAACCTGATGGAATTATAAATGCAGGAAAATACGATCAGGTTTTGATCCACCATGCAGCCGATGCAGCGTGTGTGCACGTACAGAGAGACAAAGAAGGTGAGACAAGAAGAGCGACAGAGACAAATACTGTCAGCTGATAGGCTAGAATAATATTTAAAACTTTTACTGTCTCAGAGGTTTTGCTTTAACAATATTATTGTTGTAGTGTCCAGATTGAAACACACAGACAGATAAGATTAGGTCAGACGAGTTAAACGTGTCGAAGGGAGGAATAAGGAGAGCAAGTAAGGAGTCGGGACAGAAGGAGGAGTGCAAGGTAACAAAATCGTTTGTCTCCATTAGTTGATAAAAGCCACGTGTACATTCTGCATACAGTGACATTAAAAACACACACTGACTGACAAAGCAGTCCTCTGATTTCTCTTCCTTTCTTTTCTGTTAACATAGTGATCAAATTAAAAGTAGTCCCAGCTGTGTCACTGGCACAGTGCATATGTTGCTGGATAAAACAGCTGTTAGCTGACATATGTAATGCCTACAAAAGATCCAGTTCCCAGTAGTGTTGGTGCACCTTTCTACGGCACTGTCACAATAAGTTTCAGCATGCATAGATCAACGCTCAAGTTTGTAAATCAATCACAAGGTCGAACCATCTTAAAGCGCATCCTGATTTATCATTTTTCTAAACACTAATGGAGACCAGATTTGAAAAATGACAAAAAAGTAAAAATACTAGAGAGAGTGCAGGTTAGAGGCACTCAGACGTTCAGGCAGCCGTGCCCAGCCTTTACACTTTACTGGAACACAGCACATGAGTGTCTGCCCAGCAGGCAGCAGCACAGTCACCACCTCATCATTTATTCATCATCAGGCATTACTTTGAGCACCCATACATACACAGGCAAAGTAAGTAAGTACTCTTTTGTACTTACTCTCTCCCAACTCTAACACAGTGTTGTTATCAGCTCTTGAAGTGATTGGATGGTACAAACTGATGTGTCATTTTTCCTCGGTCCCCTGCAATTTAATGCGTGTGGGAGGGGAGGGGTTTTAGGGGGTGTTGCACTCACCTGTGCTTTTCAAAGTAATCTCCGACCACTTTCTAAAGCACCTGTCCACTGTTCATTTCTTCCTAATGTCTGTCTTTGTAGTCGTGGGAGGACGTTTGGATTATTTGTGTCGCTAACATTTAATATTCTCCTTATCCTGTGTTCATTCAGCCGTCAAACAAATCTGTTCATACATTTAACCATCTGTCTCCCCACTTTTAGTGTATCACACAAACATACCTCCTTCGTTGTCCTTGCTGTCGGTACATAGTGTTTCCATGGCAACGTGGCACCCCGCCCCTCTCCATCCCGACTGGCAGATGCAGTGCCATCCGCTGGCCTCCAAGGTGCATCGTCCATTGTTATTGCAGAGACCTGGACAACCCTCTGGGCACAGGGGACAAGCACAGTTAGCAAAGTCACAGCAGTGGGAATAAAGGAGGGGACCATGATGACCGTCAGGGTGAAGACAGGCTTAAACCTATATACGTCTTTGAAGTGAGGTGATGATATTTTTGTACTGAATTGCTGTGAGAGGAGATCATTATTATTTATTTAATTTAGGGCCACGTTCATGCTAAAAACGATACATATTCGGAGTTTCCCTCTTGACTTGGAAAAACCTCTGAAACAGCACCGAGACCATGATGGGACGAAAAAGTCAAAAACAGCCAGAGGGGCACTGGAGGCCCCCACAGGACTGAGTCTGGACTCTGCTGCACCACACTGAGCTGACTCTTCAATTCAAACATCTGACAAAACCCACCAACAAGCAAAAAATACACACATGGGCTACAATAAATATTCATCCAAAAGGATCAAATAGAAAAAATAAACAGGACTTAATTTTGGTTAAGCTGGCCTTTGGATTCTGATAGGGCTGAGACTGGGCTGGATCGGTGCTACAGCCAAAATCGATCTGTTTCATTCAACAAATGTTTATACCAGCTGTCAGTTTAGAACATTTTAGAAAACATCCCATCATAGTATAAATGTGGTTTCAGATGCTATTCAGAAATGATTCTAACAGACATAAAAGGTTGTTGGTGTAAAATGGAAATGCACAGAATGCAACGATTTCCAATAATTAAAACTAGAAAGTACGAGTGCGCGATATAAACGATATACGATAGAAACGATATAAATTTGGCCAACGATAGAGATTTTGACTATACCGCTCTATCGCGATAGCACATGTTGATGATGTCATCAAGCTGCGCCTGTTTTGGTTGAAAGCATCGCAGCGGCTAAAACCATTATCATCTGCAAATTATGACGGGCAACAGTCACAGCAAAGAGATGAAGCACTTTTGAAACATGGGGAAAGCCAAAAACTGCGCTTCCTCCACTTCCGTAACAGAATTCATTAATGTTGAATTCTCTCGCAGCTGCTCTATTCCCATGTTGTTGCAGTATATTAATAACTAACCTCGTATTGTGGATGAATAATCTCAGTTGTTCTCCTGACTGAAGTTTGGCCCGTGTACAGCATCCTGCTATGCAATTGCATTTGTCCCTGACCACCAGAATCCGTCACGTTAACTTTTATCGAGTGGAAGAAAAAGTTGGCGTTCATCCTCCAGCTTCACTGTGCTAATGTTATGCTAACATAGCTGTGTCGCTAGCAATCACGTAGCACAACATTATATACCAGCTAGCCCAACGTCAGTAACCCTACAAACGCCACTGCTGTTTAGTCTTCTGTCTTCATTATTTTGGAAGTGGTAGCAGAGCTGTACGTTTGAATTAGTTTCAAAAATCTCTCAGTCAGAACATGGTATGAAATGTTTAGGTGGAAACTAGCGAGCTAACTTCCTGTTAACTTGTAATTCAATAAATCTGTTTTCATGGATGCCTGGATGTTAAACTTAACTGTTACACCTGGTAAAGCAGCAACGCTGATGATTTAATTAAAGATGAAAGAATTTAGACTGTTTTTAACTTTGACTTTGGGACCTGAAGCTGACGGAGTTTTGGACCCAGATTACTCCGTGAAGCTCCTCACTACGGCAGCCGTAATGCTCTGACAATCCATCAAGCAGTGCGGCTTACCAAAGTTGTACTAAAACATTTTTAACAGATTTCTGCAGCCAAAATCGGTTCGAGGTCAGTAAGCACAACCAGAATTCATACATGAGGCACACTCTCGATTTTTGAGAAAATTAAAGGATTTTAAGTCCTTATAGTGTGGAAAATACATTATACAGAAGAAAAGAATATATCGAGATATATATCGTTACCGCACGTGCTTCAAATTATATCACGATATGGATTTTAGGCCATATCGTCCAGCCCTACTAGAAAGCTGCAAAAAGCAAACGGAGAGGTTGTTTAATACTAAAGAAAACAACCAACCAACTGTTGGTGAGTTGTGGAACAATGTAAGATGTATGTAAAGTATTAGATTCATTAAAGATCTGATGATAGCATCTCAGAGAGGCTGTCTGTCAGAGTAAAGATGAATGACCAGGCTCAGTGTAAGATACAGAGGATCTGCATTCTTCCTATTAAAAGATTTTATTCAGATAAATTCTGTATTGATGGGACCGTATTTGAGGCTTTGGGCAAGACTTCTAAAATCACTGTTACTGGACACGTGAAATGCAGCTGCGTCCTTGAGGCTAAGGTTCAAATAGCAGCAGGTGATGATACTGTGGTGCATTAGTACACTAAGGCCACTAGATGACATCAAGGTAACTTCATCGTTTTTTCCCCAAAACAATAGTTTGTTTCAACATTTGCCACGTTTGTTGTGTGTGTTTGTACTATTTTCACTCTAAATTCTTTTGGAAATAATTGCACTCCGTTTTTTCCTACATTTTCTACATTTTCCAAAACTTTAAAAAGTTTATCTTCTCTCTCTCAGCAACTTCAGTACAAAAGTACCAGGCTTCAAAAACCCACACTGGTTAAATTCAGATGTGTATAAAGGCATTCAGCCCCGTTCGATGGACATTTCTCCAATTAATGGACTCACAGACTGACACACAAATAAAACAGTTAATTACAGTAGCCCACATGTGAGAGACAGACTGGCAGACAGACAGACAGTCAACCTTTGGTGAAATGCACTGATGTTGTACTTTCACATGAACTGCTAGAACTGCCAGCAGCCAAAATGGCCACGGCGTGCTGCTCGGCTTTAATTAGTGCAAAATGAGAAGTTTTCTTTTCATCTGCGAACAAAGAAAAAGAAATGCTGCATAATAGGAAACAGGCCACAGAAACAAACCAAATGAATAAAGGCAAACGAAAAAAGTCTCAACATGTCAAACTGAAGGGTTTGTCTGTCAGAGGAAATGACATCAGAGGGAATTTTAACACCCAGTGAACTGACAAAGACTGAAATTTCCATTCAACAGGATGCTTGTTTCAGAAATATGGATTCATCTGTGCTCGTTCTTCTCGTCAGGCAAAGAAATAACGCAGCGAGTTTAAATCCATGTGAAAACACAACAGGTAGACATAAAGGCAGAGCACAAAGTATAGGGAGGACTGCGCGCTCCACAGACTATACTTTATGCCTCTGTTTGGCATTCCTCATTCACAAAATCGACAGTGAGGCTGGCAATCAGATAGGCTGATTATAACAGTGAGAACCAGAACCAAGCAAAGCCCAGAACAAGGAATGGAGATAAAGACTGGGGGGAGGAAAGTGAAGACAGATCGAAGACAGGAGGACAGCAACTGGCTTATTTAACACATATATCAGGCTTGTGGATGCAAGACGAAACAGGAGTCGCACACCTTTGCTTTATGACTGTGCGTGCACTTTTTATTTGTATTCACTGCTCTCGTGTGAATCTATCTATGGTCTGTTTCGTGTGTGAGAGTCAGAGACAGGAAAAGGAATGACCAGAAAAAAACACAGAAATAGAATATACGACAATACAAGTCTAGCTAAACCGAGCACTGAGAATGACTGGAAAACAGTGAGCGAAAGGAAAAGACAAAACCTAAAACGAAATGGACTTAACCAAAAATATGTTATAAAGCAGAGTGTGAAGTCATTGTATTCTGGGACAGTAAGGCCTTTATTGTTCTTTAGCAGGAGTTACCTTTATATCCTGAGAATAGGAGAGGGCACGAGGGAGAGAGGGAGGAAAATTAGGGAGAAAAGTAAAGTGAAACAAAACCAGCACTGCCAAATATTTAGTCTGTGATCGATAAATGAAGATGGCAACCAAAGGAAGAGGAGGCAGGGAGGAAGAGCTAGGATCACAGCAATGAAATGATAAAGAAAGAAGTTGAACCACAGCAGTGTAAATACGTCATTCACATGTTAGATCTCAGAAGAGAGAAGAAGGACAAAGCTAATGACAATGCAACAGCTGTCATGTTGTACACAACGTAGCTTCTGTTAATAAATACAACTGGTTTTATACTGACAAACTATCTGGTGCAGGTTACCAACCTTCTGTAAGAGGATCGAGCAGCTGTCACCACAGCCTGTGCTGCTGTTCCTCTAAACTACTAGATTAAGGTCTTTAAAGCAGGAGGTGTAGCATAGTTTAGTGCACGATAAAGCATGTGCAGCCACAGAGATGACGAAATGAACAAAATGCAAAAGTGCCAAAACAGTAGTTGGTTCCAAAAGTGAGCCATGACTCCCCTGGCCTCTTTAAAGCCACTGATGGACCTAGAATTTTGTCGCCTTGTTCTTGAGTTGGGTGTCCGTGCTGTCCGCCTGCCCACTCGCCCGGTGGGGTGACGACAACAGCCCATCAGCCTTTTATAGCTGAGGTTCTGCACTGCAGGTTTAATGTTACTTAACATGGCAGCCCGGGCGAGGTGTCGTCACTGATTTCTACAACTGATTCGATTCAGTTTAGGCTCAGACAGTCAGAAGTATTATGGATATGTACTGATAAATGATCGTAATTATTATGTTTCTAACTGTGTATACAAACAAAGCTGACACTGTGAGACTTCAGAGGTGTGAACATCACAGCAGATGTGTTTGTGTCAAAGCAACTGAGGATAAAACATGAAGGAGATTTTCCTGGCCGGGCTTTTATAGCAGATGAGCCATGAATCGACATGCGAACATTACCTGACGCTGCTGAGGTTTGATTAGAGACGCAGCTGAGAGTTTTACAATTTGGTATCATTTTAAAAAGTTTGCATTTCTTTGGTATTGAACGCCAGAAATGAGGCTTTCTAGTCGGAGGTCAAATGGAAAAAGCCGCGTTGACAGCGCTGAACACAGCGGCAGACTGATGCGTAAAAAGCAGCGAATAATGCAGAAAACAGATTTTATGGTAAACTGGTCTCTGAGTACACTGAGAGAGAGAGCTGTGCAGGAAGTGTGAGTTTATCCTGGTGGAAGCGAAACAGCAAAAGTAAGAAGGAAATAAATGACAATGTCTTGAAAACATGAAGCTACTTTTGATCTTGTTCTGCTGCTGGTTCAGTGAATTGTGGTCAGAGTGACGAAACCTGCAGCTTCAGAATCTGCCGGCGTTCAGCACACGACTGCGTTCACGTCTTTGATCGTTTGCTGCTTTAGCTGTTTGGTGGAAACAGTTTTGTGAGCTTTAAGCTGAGATTCTGGCGTTTCTGGCAAAATACATTTAAAAATCACTTCAGACTTGAAGTCGCTTTGTTTAAACTAAAATCGTTTGGAATCGGGAAATCGATTTTTTAAACGCACTTCTAGTCAGAGGCCCAAATCAGAGCTGCAGGAAATTAACTGTTAATTAAAATTTGGGTCCAAAACACACTTTCACCTTTCAGCTAATACTAGCAGCTCAGGTGTTGGAGAAATTGTACTTACTCCTGGACAAATGTTTTTACCGTTAACTTTTTTCCATGAAGGAATTCAATGTTTTGGAAGATGAATCAGACAGCGTCATGCTGCAGATAGAATATCAAAACTGGGCTGACTCAGCAGGACCCTGTTTTAAAGAGATGCCTTTCAGCTGAAACTGGAGGCTGCATGAAGAGGTTTCAACAGAGTTTGTTATATATATAAAACCCTGGAAACATGCCTGCAGAGCACGAGAATCAATACACAGAGCTGGAAGCAGATTTAGGGAGAAACAATTTGAAACTGGTTAAAAGAACATAACTGTGGTTTTAGAAAATCATTCAGTTAATTGTAAGAGTTATACTGTGCAGGTAGAGGCCTAAAACTCAGAGAATCAGTTGCTCGAGTCCTGCCAGGAAGCAGGACTTCCTTAGCCTGCCACGCTCTGGGTTATCATCTCTGGAGAACCCTTGACCTATCTCAGGTTAAACGCTGCTGGTTCCTGCTCGGTCACTTTCTTGCCCCAGCAGCCAACAAAACGTCGACTAGAGAATCCCTCCAGAAACAGTAACGATCCAAAACATCGTATATAACCACAATCACTTTGGTGGCTGATACTGCATTGCTATCCTAGAGCCTGCCTCTGAATATTTACAGATTTAATCTGTAAATATTCTGGAATAACAGAATATTACTTAAAATAACACTGAAATTAAAATTGTACTCTAATGATATAGCCTGTGTAAACTAAAGTACGACTTACATCTTAACGCAAAAGGCAATTGTGTGAGTCAAATACAGCTGCTTAAATTCAGTGACAGTTATGAGAACATTTGACTGTGTAGCAAATACACGTGGACAGGACAAAGGAGAAGCAGCTCACAGAAGACCAGCAGTAAAGACACACAATTCTCTAATATGGCTCCCTGTTAAATCCAGAATTCAGGCCCCATCTTTCTAATGACCTGTATACCATATCAGCCTATTAGAGCACTTCCTCTCGCTCTGCAGCCTACTTGTTGTTCCTAGAGTATTTAAAAGTAGAATGGGAGGCAGAGCCTTCAGTTTCAGGCCCCTCTTCTGTGGAACCAGCTTCAGTTTGGATTCAGGAGACAAGACACTATCTCTACTTTTAAGATTAGGCTTCAAAACTTTCCTTTTTGCTAAAGCATATAGTTAGGGCTGGACCAGTGACCCTAATCCTCCCTTAGTTATGCTGCAATAGATGTAGGCTGCGGGGATTCCCATGATGCATTGATTTTTCCTTTCCAGTCACCTTTCTCACTCACTATGTATTAACAGACCTCTCTGCATTGAATCATATCTGTTATTAATCTCTGTCTCTCTCCACAGCATGTCTTTATCCTGTCTTCCTTCTCTCACCCCAACCAATCACAGCAGAGGCCCCGCCCTCCCTGAGCCTGGTTCTGCTGGAGGTTTCTTCCTGTTAAAAGGGAGTTTTCCTTCCCACTGTCACCAAAGTGCCCACAGGGGGTCACATGATTGTTGGGTTTCCTCTGTATGTTTATTGTAGGGTCGACTTACAGTATAAAGCTCTTGAGGTGACTGTTGTGTGATTTGGTCTGTGTAAATAAAACTGAGGCAAAGATTTCATGGTCTACATCAAAGACATCAATACTGATTTGCCCTGTGCTTGTGTAGTTCCTGTCTGCTCAAAGTAAATGCTCAGATGGCCCAAGTCACTCAAAGCCAGTATGACATCAGACATGCAGTATCACACAGGGACTGAATACCAACAGTAACAGGGAAATGTGTTTCTGTAAGTCAAGCTGTTATTACAGCTCGTGTAAACTGGTTTGATGACTTCGCCCCTTTGGGGCCCAGCTGTAGCATCCAGTAAATACATCAATAAACTCTATCGCTGGTGCAGCTAAAGTTCAGCTTTACAAAAAAAGCAAAGGATGAAGAGAGGAAAAGGAAAAAACTCGTGATAACAGTGACAAGAAGAGTTTTAAAAACAGTGTACATACCTTTAACTCAATACCGGATTGTAGCTTTAAGAAGACAGGAAAGGAAGAAAAAAGACATAAATAAAGAGATTTAGTTCAGATAGGAGGAAGCAAAGAAAAGAGATCTAACTGAAGTGACCACGAAGAGCAAACAACGCTTATCAGACCAATCCAATTATTTGTATTGATCGGTTACGATGTCAATCGTGCTGTTTCCAAGCTGAGATATGAATCTGGAAGCAATCTTTACATCTCTGCGTTCTAACATGGATCAAACATACATGCAACTGTAGCGGTTACAGACGATTCCTACCAAGGAACGCTTAACTGATCATCACATCATAATCCAGGTCTGCAGCAGCGATACAAGCAACAGCTGCTCTTAGTCGACTGGCTCAGTCATCTGATGTCTAATAAAAAAACAACCGTCTTCACTACTTGCTCAATCACTTAGCACATGCCCCGGTAGCTGCATTAGTGTTTTCTCTGAGACTCTCTGGATGTTTTCTGGTCCCTGTTTATTTTGATCATGGATGCAGATGAAAGATCTTTGTTGCTTCAGTTCTTCTTGAGGACTACACTGATAACTTCCTGTGACTGTGTGCTGGATAGATATTATAAGACCATAATCTTTCTGGATGTTATTAATTGCAGCGCTGAGCAGATCAAGGCTGGTAACTAACACCAGCTACAAAAAAAGCAGTTACCTAGAGCGATCCTAAGGGAAATTCTGCTTTGAGCCCAGATTAAGATGTTTTTACTGGGAAAACAACAAACTAACACAACATGTACATCCACATTATCAGCAGCATCATTTTCCCTGAAGCAACCACAAAGATAGAAAACTGTGATAGGCTGGTTAACAATGCACCGGGACCAATCAGTGAAAAGAGCTCATCTAAGATATCTGTAGTGTTGTTCAAGGCTGTGCGCTACTCTGCTGTGTCCAACTGGATTATTTACGTGTAGTTGTAATGCTAAGTTATGTTGTGTGTGCGAGTGTGTGATCCACTCACCAATGTTGCAGTGCCCCCTGTCCATCCCTGGTCACACTCACACTTCCCCGTCTTACAAACTCCGTTCTTGCTGCACAGTGGGTGGCAGGCCTTTTGGTCACACACACTTCCAGTCCAGCCCTCCTCACAGCGCATACGCCGCCGTAACACACTCCATGGCTGCCACAGTCCACTTCACACACCTCTGTAACAGTACAAAGAGAAATTACTTCATCGACTGCAGAACCGATATAAGCACGTGCACGCACACTGATGCACTCTTCTTATTCACCCGCAGCGCGTCCTGGACTGCACCCTGTGCACGCCAAATGATGTCTTTACGTACAGTGAGGTTTCAGGAAAAGCTCAGTACAGATTACTACAAGTCACTGTGTTAATTTGTGTGTTTGAGTGCACTGAAGGAGCTCAGAACGTCTTATTTCCTGAAGCTTGGGTTCGCAGCATGCTAGCCGCTCCTGCACAGCTACAGAAAAGTGTCTGCTCAGGGTGCAGCTTCCCGAGGGACATATGTTTATCTTTGACCCTGTTGTATAGCTGTGTGCATTGGAGATGGATGCCGTGCATCCCGTTCTTGTTTTTAAAGCTGTTAAAGATGTATGCTGTGCACCACAATCATTGTACTCTGGATAAAGAAAAAAGTGACTTGTTGTAATTTGGTGCTATATAAATAAACTGGATAGAAATGAATTAAATGTGATTGCAACATGTGTATCGTGTGTATGAATATTATTGCATCATTTGCTGCAATTGTAGAGAAAAACATGTGGAAAATGTTGACGGTGAGCATTTTGTAGGTAACACTACTGGTGTGCTAAGTTTTGTTAAAGAGTTAACAACATTTTCATGCAACATGCTGATTTCTGTAGTACAGGCCAATACTAAGTGATGACAGTCTGACTTTATTTCCTTTGGAGTTTGAAAAATAAAATGAAACTTTTTATTTACCTTAAATCTTCTTGGTTGCATTGCGTCCCAGTACTGCAGCGTTCAGGGCACCTCTAACACTGTCGTCTCAAGTAGCTTCTAATTTGTAACTGATTTGGATTTTTATGGCGGTCACTTCACTTCTAAATCCCCTCATAACACATCTGTACAGTATTCTGGTTTACACATGCTTCAACAGAAGGTTTCATTTGAGAAATAAGAATATGAAATGTGGACATAGACAGGTAAACAGTGCACACACCTAAAGAGCAGTCAGCTCCAGTCCAGTTCTGGTCGCAGGCACATGTGCTGGTCTCTGCATTGTAGGTGCCATGCTGAACACTGGTCTGGACACATGGCCTTGGTAATTTCACAGCTGGCTCCACCCCACCTGGCTGACAGTGACATTCGCCATGAATACACACCCCATGGGCCGAACAGCTGGGTCAATGCAGTCCACTGGAGGCAGAGAGGAAATTATCAGCACACCAAACAGTACATACAGACACATGCACACGTTCACGCATCAGCTTACTGTTGAACTCTTGAGGGCAGTTATCTGGAGCCAGATGCTTAAACTCTTCAACCTTAATTACAAACAGCTTTACATACACTTGTGCATTTCCTCTTCT